AAAAGAAAAGAAAGCAAAACATTGCAGGTTATTATTGTCATCCACATTGCAATTTATGTGGGTGAATAATGGTTTCTTCACGCGCTTTAATTTTTGTTACTTTATAAAGTTAAATAATATAATTTTTTTATAAAATCATTATTTTTTTTAACTATATGAGAAAAAACAGACTATAAAAAAGTTAAGTTCAATTAAGAAAAAGAAAAAACACCACATATCAAACTCGTAAATCGGAGCAACTTGAGTTATTTTGGGAAACCCATAAAACTATGTTCACCTCATATAAAAGAAAAATAAAAAAAAAGTAAATTACGAAGCTAATTCTTAACAATATCTATTTTAAAAGATGAAATTGACAAAAATAGATTTAAAAAAATCATAAAAAAAATTCATAAAAAAAAGAAAGAAAAAAGCAAAACACTGTGAATTACTATTGTAATCCATAAGATTTGGGTGAAGAATGGTTTCCCTCACATCTTTAATTTTTGTTTTTTCATTAATATGGTTTTTTTCTAAGATTATTTTTTTAACAATATGAGAAAAAAATAAACTAAAAAAATCAAGTTCAATTGACCAAAAAACCTACCGAATCAATAAATTATGGCAACCTTAGTTACCTCGACAAATTTATAAATCACACTAATATCATAGAAAAATAAAATAAAAAAATTATAAATTTAAATTCTCAACTATCTTAATATTAAAAAATAAAATTACTAAAAATAATTTAAAAAAATCATAACAAAAAAGAAAAGAAAAAAATCATGCGTAATAAATAATAATACGGGTAATACTATAAAAATTCATAATATTTATAAGGATATAAAAATTATAATACTTTTCCTATATAATTTAATATTTTTTTATAATAATAAACAAGATAAAGATAGGGAAATTTGTTTACACCTGCTTCAACCAAACCCACCGAACCCACCCCACCCCCCTCCCCCCAGCACACAGACACACTTTTTTTTTTTTTTAACATAAAGTACCAAATTATAGAATCTTTCAGGCTCTTCAGTAACAATAAAAAAAAAAAGAAAAAAGAAAAATATACCTCATTTTTTCTTTTTATTCTCTCAACTCATGGAGAAAAAAGAAGGTTGGTTCATAGACTTTTACATTTGTGGGATGGATTTTGATTTAATTCATGGGAAAAGGGTGGATTGGAAGCCTCAATTGATTGATCCATATATATTAAATTTACTTACACATGTAGATCCATATATATTTTATATTATTTTTGAAATAGATACAGATGAATTCAGGAGAAAACCTCACAGGGTCTCCACATTCTACAAAACTGAGCAAGACATGTGAGCTGGACTTTGTATTTGAATTTATGCTTGGGCTTGTAGAATCCTAAAAAAGAATGGTAATTGTGGAGAACGAGGGTCTCCACAATTACCAATGGCAGGAGAGAACTAATAGAAGAGAGAATTGTCTTGCAATACGAGAGGAAATGTAGTTAGTAAATTGACATAGAGAGTGCATTCAATCTAAAATGAAATTTTAAAATAAATTTTATATTATTTTTTAATAAAATTTTTTTAGACTAGAAACTTATATATATTTACATAATTTTATATTTAAATTTTTTCAAATAAATCAGAATGATAAAATTTAAATTTATAATTGTGTAGTTATTAAAGTTCTAATATTATATTAAAGAATCAATTTAATCAAAAAATTAAAATTATCCAATAAAATCTCAAAATATAATTTATATTATTTTAATATTATGCATATCAAAGCTAAATAAACTTATGAAAATTACATTATTTTATATAATTTAATTAGACTTAACCTCTGATAACAAATAAGAAAGCATTGGACCACCCCTCAACCCGATTATCAAGTCAATCTATAAATTCAAAGTTCAGTAACATGTTAGTTAGTTTCTTATAAGATAAATCCACCTTCAAGTCATTCATTACCTCTCATCATTTGAGTGGCATCGGCGAAGTAAAATAATAAAATAAATAAATAAATTGTTCTTAAACCCTACAAGAGCATTTAAGTTTTTGAAAATTGACAAGGGGCAGTTGCCCTCGTTACTGTATCTTTCTCTCTATGAAATTTGATGGAAAGTGACTCCTCTTGTTCTATACGTATTATTGACAAATTAGTAATGGGTAGGTATGACTATACTTTCAACAATTCTTTCGTTGTCTTAGTATCAAAACGAAAACGACAAGAAGTGGTGTGTGTGTGTCTGAAATATAGAACTTTGTGGGATTTGGTTGTGGTAGCTCAAAAGTGTAATATTTTACATGGCCGCGCTAAAGATTAGGTTTAAATTAAAACTTGTTTGAATATAAAAAAATATTGGGGTAAAAAAATATCTGATATATTTATTAAACCTCATTTAATAATAAATCAATCTTAAAATATTCTCAACCAATTTTTTTTATCAAGTTAAAGATTAAATTTGAATTGTGTGTGAGTTAGGTAATATGATATAATTGATTTAATGAATTAAAAAGTAATATGAATAATTGATAAAATACATAATTTTATTTAAAAAAAAATTAAGATGAACTTTTATTTTATTTTTATATTAAAATGACCATATTTACATAATAAATTGATTTGAGTTTTGTGATTTAACCAATTAGATTTATAATATTTTTAATTAATTTTACTAGATTTAAAAACTTTGTATTTTTAAAGATTTTTTTTGATTGCTGGATGCAGCGGAGGTAGATTTTTACATGTAATTTGAAATTTTGATTCAGTATTGAAATCCTAATTAAAAACACAGAGAAACAATGGGTTTCTCAAGAGAATCCTTGATTCAAACAAAAAGAATAAAATAAAATAAAATAAGATAAGAAGCCAATCCCTTTCCTTAAAGAATCTGAGTTTCGTGGAATCCTAATCGATTTATTAAAACTAAACACTAATATATTATTTATTAGCACCATAATTATATTTAACACAACACAACGGAAAGCCATGGATAAATAAACATTTAAAAACACACACGCAGAGCAGAGGGAAAAGAGGTGGGAGGGAGATGCACAGCCCGGTTCTACAGTACAGATAGACGGTACCTATTCCCACGCTAACTTCGTTGAGTCCTTTTTCTTTTGTTTTGCATTCTAAAGAAAACAAGAAAGAAAAAGAAAACAGAGAGAGAGAGAGAGAGAGCAGCAAACAACGAGGGCCAATTTTGTTTATTTTCCATGGTACGATTCTATACAACAAACAAAGAAACACGCACTGACTTGTTTTTTGTTTTTCTCTACCATTCTTTAGTGGATTTTTGTGCTTTTCTCTTGACCTGAGATTTTAGTCTTTGTGGACTTCTTATTGAGCTTCTGATTTCCCTCTTCTTAGGAAATTTAGATTGAAAAATTCAATTTTAATCTCTTTTCTTCAATCTGGAGGTGATTTGTGTTTGTTGGGTATTGACTATTTTTGCTGAATATTGTGGAGAGACAGATCTTTTAGCCAATGTGATTGACATCAGTTTCTTGTAGAGAATCATATTGGTGGTAATGTGATGTTTGCTACCTGATATTCTTCTCTTTTTTTGGCCGGATTATTTGTTAGTATTGCAATGGCTGATAAGCACTCCTCATCGTCTCTTGGGATTATTTCTAGGAAATCTATGCTTTGCTTGTTTCTGTTTGCGTCCGCCTTGTTTATGCTGTCTTGGTTTTTTCTGTTGCGTTCCACGAGCAGTGCTGGGTTTCATGACCTCAGTTTGTTACCTCATCCCACACTTAATCCTCTGATTGTTAATGGCAATTCTGCATCCTGGAATCGGAAGGATGTTGAACCCTCGATTGGAAATCGAGCGATTCTTGTAGACAATGAAGGAGAAGAAGAAAAACCTCAAAAGAAAGATGATTTAGGGGATGTGAAATGCAGCGGTTTTGATAATAATTACAAACAAGTTCTTAAGATTTTCATGTATGATTTGCCTTCTGAATTTCATTTTGGGCTCTTAGATTGGAAACCTCAGGGGGATAGTGTTTGGCCTGATCTTAGAGCTAAAGTGCCTGAATACCCTGGTGGGCTCAACTTGCAACATAGTATTGAATATTGGCTTACATTGGATCTTCTTGCTTCAGAGGTCCCTGGCATTCCTAGAGCTGGTAGTGCAGTAAGAGTTCGAAATTCTAGTGAAGCCGATGTTATATTTGTTCCGTTCTTTTCTTCTTTATGCTATAACCGATATTCCAAGGTGAATCCACACCAAAAGAAGAGCAAGGACAAATTGTTGCAAGAAAAGTTGGTCAAGTTTTTGACTTCGCAAAAGGAATGGAAGAGGTCTGGGGGACGAGATCATGTCCTTTTGGCTCACCATCCAAATAGTATGTTAGACGCAAGGGTGAAGCTATGGCCTGCAATCTTCATACTCGCAGACTTTGGGAGGTATCCTCCAAATATAGCAAACGTTGGCAAAGATGTGATTGCACCATACAAACATGTAATTAGAAGCTACGTCAACGACTCATCAAACTTTGATAGCCGCCCAACTTTGCTGTATTTTCAAGGAGCCATATACCGGAAAGATGTATGTTCTCTCCCTCTTGACTACGTCTGCTGTTAATTGTTTCATTAAAATTTCTACTGTAACTAAAAACTTATTTTCCACAGAATTTTCTTTTTGACATGTTCTACACCTCAAAAATAAGCTCTGATTCGACAATATTATGAATAAGTGATAGTAACAAAATAAACTGTCATGAGCTTCCCAGTTCTCACCACGTTATTTCCTACTCTGTTAAACAGAAGATTAGTTAGTTAGGATTATTTCATGGATTAGGTGTCGACAAAGTACATGCCAATTAAATGATAAGTTATTCTTTTTTCAAGGCATCTATTTCAACGTACTGGGTTCTTAATGTGCATTTCTTATCATGTAGCTGTTGAAGTAAAATCATTGTCAAAACTTGATTATGGCTCTGAAACTAGCATGGGCTTGATGTCTATGTGGTATACTTCCCTCGGGTGTAATGAACTAGTTATATGCACATGTATGGAAGTTCATTCAAGTAAAGTATTGTGGGCTGCTGTTGAGGATGGGTTGTGATCATAAACTCAAAAATCACCATTCCATCTCATGAAACTTTCATGACGTAATCTCTTAATGGATCTTCATAATTTCATGTGATATATTTGACTTGCTGAATTTTTTTACTAAAAACTTCATTTTTATTAGATTCTGAAAACCATCCAATTAAGATGATTCATTATTTTCCTTTAATTCAACTGTTATTCTATGCCACTCTTTTGGTTGGCTTTACAGTATCTATACCTTGATTCTTCAATCTTGAGTTTCTTGTTTTCAGGGTGGCTTCGCTCGGCAAGAATTATTTTATCTTCTTAAAGATGAAAAAGAAGTACATTTTCAGTTTGGGAGTGTACAAAAAGATGGAGTTGGCAAAGCTTCTCAAGGAATGCACTCCTCCAAATTCTGCCTTAACATAGCAGGTGACACGCCCTCATCAAATCGTCTCTTTGATGCCATTGCTAGCCACTGTGTTCCGGTCATCATCAGTGATGACATTGAGCTCCCTTACGAGAATGTTCTTGACTACTCTCAATTCTGCATATTTGTTCGCACATCAGATGCTGTCAGAGAAAAGTTCCTCGTAAATCTCATCAGGAGTATTAAGAAGGATGAATGGACTAGAATGTGGAACAGGTTGAAAGAAGTAGAAAATTTCTTTGAGTTCCAATATCCATCAAGGGAAGGTGATGCGGTTCAAATGATATGGCAGGCTGTAGCGAGAAAAGTTCCTGCAATTAGGTTGAAGGTAAATAAATTAAGGAGATTTTCACGTTTCGGCACCCAGAAAGATGAAGAGTTGAGAAAAATACCATCACCTAGTAATTTTTGGTGAAAGCATTCGTTGTTGCCCTTGGTGACCTTTGAGCCTATCATATATGGTCCAACTGAGGTTCTGCTGCTTTAAAAGGTGAGAAATTCATTGAATTCTCACAGCAGATTTTGACAACTCTTTTGTAAAAATAAAAATATAAAAAATTAAGAAGATAAGAGTTTCAAGAATTTGGCATCCCTGCATGTCTCAACAGCACTTCTTGTATCTCAATCTTACCGTCTTTGCTGGCCATGTACGTGTCTGGATTTGACTCAAATATACAATGCACACGAAGCTAAGAAGCTAAGATTATTTGAGAGGGGACAAAACTATATAAAAAGATATAATTTTTTTTAATTTACTGTTTATAAATTGTAAAAATAATAATAAAAAAACTTTATGATTTAATTTTATTCAAAAAACTTGCTACAAATATATAATAATTTTTTATAAATAATTTTTTATAAGGTAAGTGGTTTAAAACAATATCAAATTGAGTAGTTAGTGACACGATGAAAAAATTGGTGACTTCTCTTAAGTAAAGGAGTGTCAAAGTAATAAATAACCTGACAAGATTGAGGTTGAATTATAGAGAAGTTAATTATATAAATTATAAATAATAATAACAACAATAACAACAACAACAATAATAATAAGAAGAGGAAGAAGAAGTTAAAGAGGACTTTAAGATGTAAGATTAATATGAGGATTAAACGACGATAAAAACAAATATCAAGGTTAGAGGATTCATTAATGTTATTTATAAACTCTTTTTATTATTCAACTAGAAACCATATACAAAGGAGATTCCAATCGGATTATAAATTGTTAACATAATTACATTAGTTATCTTATTCGAAAAATATTAATACTTGTAAGTGTTGTCAGGCATTCATGATTATAACTTATGTTAACAACAAATCAAGTTTCTTTTATGGCACAAGTGTTAGTTACACTATACGGTTGGGTTATGAAAGTGTCAATTATTTGTTGTACCAAGTGTTCTACAATATAAATTTAGATTAATTATTTAACAAGCAAAGTATTAAGAGTGAACAAGATAACAAATACAAAACATGTTAGTATCAAACATTAAAATCTATGTTGAGTTTACATTATACTTATTCTTACATCATTTGTGTAACCTTTTCACCTTAATATAATAAACTTACCTTAACATAATGAATAAGAGAAACATAAATAAATAAGATAAGAACATAAATAAGATATAAGTTAACTAAGTAAAAGAAAGGAAATGAAAACCATAAACAAAAGATTAATGAAAGCAAAACTTAAACATTACAAAAATATAAAGAGAAAGAGCAAGAACATGATCTTGATCTGAAAACCAAGATGCCTAAATACAAGGCAAATACCTCCTTTTATAGGCTAAAATTAGAAACTATTGATTTGATGACTAATTGTTGAGTGGGTGACCAACTCTTGACTTGGTGACAATCCTTATCTTCTTGTCTGCCAAAAACATCATTGTTAATGTCATAATTTGAATAGACTTAAAACATAAAAGTTTTAAGAAATTATCTCAGCTTTCCAACATAAAAAAATTGAGGTCATTTAAACTTTAAAACTCAAGATATGGGCTGAACATGAAACAATGTCTAGGCTGCAGGACAGATTCGGACTTCTCCATTGTTGTTAAGATTTGGACTTCCAAATAGTAGAATTGAGTTTGGCTTCCATATGAATGTTTTAGGCCTATGTCTTAACTTTCTAGCCATATAAACCAAATAGAAATACAAGATCTACAGCTCTAGATATGACCTAATAACTGAACAGTGTTCCAGTTTGGACTGAACCAACATCACTTTTCTAAACTTCACCTTCTCTTTGTCTTCTCAATTTCAGTAGTTGAACTTATCAATCAATCCTTTTATTTATGTGATAGGTCTGCATTTAAGATGAATATTTACTATAAATTAAAGGTATTTTATAGTATCAAACATGTTATTATAAAATATGCTTAAGTTTGGAAATTTAATGATACTTTAAGTGCAATATGATGATATAAAACCTTGATAAAAATATATTTTTAAGTACTAATTAGCTATAAAGTGAATTTCATCTTCATATTGTATTCATCACTTTAATTTTATTGGTTTTTGTACCTATCAAATATAAATATACAAAATATATAAGAAACATTAGCTAAAGCAATGCATTATTTATGGTTGATAAAACTTTAAAATAAAGTAAAAAATAATAAAGAATGATTCTTATATATTTATTTTAATTGCATCGCTATTGTTTCATAAAATAAAAATCATCAATTATCATATCAATTGCGTATCTTTCAACAATTTCTGTTTCTATATAGCCAATCAAATAGTTTGCAAGAAAATCATCTTTTATCGGATTGTGAAGTCTTTTTTTAATAATCTTCATTGTTGAAAAAGCTCGCTCAGTAGTTGCTGTAGAAATAAAAAGAGTCAAAATAAGCCGAATTAACCTGTCAATACGTGGATAAATTATTGATTTTTCTATTTCTACCAATCCTTGACATAAATCAGCAATCAATGACATATATATATATATATATATATTTTAATTTGAATGATTGGGTACATCGAGCTCATAATACTACAACTGAAATCTCAAATGAGTTTTTCCTTAGTTGAGAATAATAGAATGGCTTGGTTGTGCCTTAGCCAACTTTTATATTTATATATATATGGTAAAACACGGAAGTAGCTATAGAGATTACAATATTGGAATAATAGAGATTACAATATTGGAGTAATCCTATAATAATTTCCTATTAAGATATATTCATGCTATACATTTTATAATATATCCTTGAAAGCTAAGGGTGAGGGATCAACCCGAAACTTGAATAAAAAAGTAGTAAAAAATGCAGTAGAAAGTGATTTGGTGAAAATATAGGTAAGTTGATCCTAAGAAGGGATAAAGCAAATTTGAATCTCTTTCTTCGTAACCCGATTGTGGAAAAAGTGATAATCTACCTTAACATGCTGAGTACAAGCATGGAAAATAGGATTTGCATAGAGATAAGTCACGCCAAGGTTATCATACCAAATGGTAGGAGCAGGGATGGAGGAAACCTATAGATTTGTTAATAGATATTTAAGTAAAATGACCTTAGTAGTACTATTTGCTAAAGCTTTATACTCAGCCTCAGTAGAGGAGCGAGCAACTGTATGTTGCTTTCTTGATTTCCATGAAATTGGGGTTTGGCCAAAGAAGACAAAGTAGCCACCCGTAGACTTGCAATCATCACTACTACCAGCCTAATCGGCATCTGTAAAACTATGGAGAGCAAAAGAGAAATTACGAGTGATATGAAAACTGTCAGATCCCGTACCTTTAAGGTAGCATAAAATACACTTAATAGCAGCCCAGTAAGAGTCTGTAGAAGTATGCGTAAACTAACAGAATCTGTTAATATCAAAACATATATCTGGATGGGTGAATGTAAGGTACTAAAGGGCACCCCCGATTTTGTGTGGGATGAGAGAATGAAGTATCTGACAATATAGTAACTTTTGAAGGAGAGACTAGAGTGTCACATGGTTTGCGTGAGTGAAATGACTAAAAGATTGATGTCTTCTCCCAAGTGAGGAGTGTTGAAGTAATAAATAACCTTGTAATATTAGGGTCCAACCACAAGGAGGTTAATTGTATAAATTATAAATAACAATAATACAACAATAACAATAATAATAGTAATAATAGTAATAGAATAATAATAGTAATAATAGTAATAAAATAATAATAGTAATAATAGTAATAGTAATAATAATAGTAATAATAAAGAAGAAGAAGAAGAAGAAGAAGAAGTTGATGAGAACTTTTAGATGGAAGATCAATGTAAGGATTAAACAATGATAACAACAAATATCAAGGTTAAAGGATCCACTAATGGTATTTCAAACAAGTATAGTATAAACTCTTATTATTCAATTGGAAACCACACAAAAAAGGAGGCTTTAATAAAATAATAAATTGTTAACATGATTACATTAGTTATCTTATTCAAATAATGTTAATACTTATAAATGTTGTTAGGCATTCATGATTATAACTTATGTTAACAACATATCAAGTTTCTTTTATAGCATAAGTGTCGGTTACACCATACGGTTGGACAATGAAAGTGCAAAATATTTGTTGTACCAAGTGTTATACAATATAAATCTATACAGGTACCAGTTACGCAAACCAGCTCCATCATCCACATCTCATATGCCAGTGGCGGGGGTCCCATTCGTCATGTGCCTTTTTACGGGATCCCATTCCTAGTAAGTAGACTTGAACCCATACCCTTGATTCCTGCCTTGAGCCTTAGATCGAAGGACCAAAGGTTGCTGTTTGGTCTAGATAAGTAGGCAGGGACAGACTCCTCGAGCAGATACCATTACAACAGTGAAGCTCATCTTCCCATTACCGGCGGAGAACTCAAGGGCTCCAAACTCCTTAGGTCTTGTTTTGTAAGCTTGAAGCTTTGAAACCTGTCGAGATTAACCTCCACTAACCTAAGCTTACCAAATCAAGTAGATCACTACCAAAACCCATACCGTACATGCTGCTTTCTTGGCTTTGCCTCTTTGTGACAACGTCGACCTTCCCCGTATGCTTTGAGGGACTGAGCTTTCGAATCCCACCTTATTGGTCTTCTTTCCACTGTCGCTGAGAAATGCCCTCCTTTTAGCTTCACCTTGTGGTTAGAACCGAGATAGATGGTTTTGGTACAGAATAGAAACGTCACCAAAACTGCCTTATTAATTGATTAGTACTTAAAAGTGCATTTTTATTATGGTTTTATATCATCATTTTGCACTTGAAGTATCAATAACTCCTTAACTAAAATATGTTTTATAATAATATGTCTAATAATATAAG